TCCTCCTTTTTCACGGTAAGTTTGCACGCCGCGCCGCGGGAGCCTCGCTCCTGGCGGGGCTCTTGGGCAGGCGGCAGTGCGGACCGTGGAGAAAAAACCCGTAATGTATGCGTGAGAGCAGAAAATTGAAGGGTACTTAATCACAGGATGATAACGGGCGTGTTTATAGCGTCAAGTGTTACCCTTGCGTGTTGGAATAGGGTGGCACTCGCCACTCGCTGGGCCTTTTCCAGGCGTTTATTTAGCAAAGGGACGTCTTTGCTCCGAGGCCCGGGCTCTGCCCCGTGTATTCCCGTGGCTTCTTGACTAGACATCCCGTCGACAGCCGAATCCCGCCAACGGAAGACGCCTTGGCGTGTGTGTACTGTGTGCTGGCAGTAGCGCGTTTAAAAAAAAAAATCCCCCGTTACCTAAGACTTGTCCTTGAGGTCTGGTCACCCCATGTCATTGAAAACCTAGTGGGATTCATTCATGGACTTGAAGCGCTCCATAAAGGTCTGTTCATTCATAGCCAAGGCAGTTTTCTCTCTCTCTCTCTTTTTTTTTTTTTCCCTCCTATTTTTTTTTTCCCTAATGCGCTGGCAATTAAATAAGCCTTTGTAAGTGGCAATGAGCTACTTGTGAAGTGGTCTTCACTAATGCAAGCACAAACACGAGGTGAAGAAGTCTCCCCCCCGCCCCGAAAGGAACACTTTTATGTTAAAGGAAATAAATACAAACTGCTAGGAGTTTCGGTGAGGGCTCAGCGCGTTCAATGGCCGTTGCTCCAAAATTCCCTTAACTGCTGTAAAACGACAAAAAAAAAAAAAAATTGCAAGCTCCAGGCGCTGATTGCAGGCTCCGATTAGGTGGGTTGGATGCTTGGATTTTTTTTTTTTTTTACAACATAGCTTTTCTTTCCTGACTCTTTAAACAAACAGCTAGTTAAAATATCTTTCCAAAAAAAAAAAAAGTATGTGTACATACACACACACACACACACACATATATAAAAATAGTGAATTCTGAAAACCCCAGGCCCCAAGTGTAGCCATTCGGCTGCTGCGCGGGTACAAATTTGGGTTGAACGCTGCAGGACCGAGCGGTGATTGAACATGGTTTCAGGCCAGCTGCTTCTTTAACCATTCACTTTTCCGCGATGAACCGAGCGCGTTCCTTTATTTGGGCAAAATTCCCACCGCCCGAGAAGGACTAGAGGAGCCAGGCTTGCCGGGCAAGGTGGTTTCGGAGCGGAGCAAGGTCCAGGGAGCACACGGAAAATAAGCCACCGGGCGGACCCTGGCCGGGAGGAGGGCGCTGGGCACACGCAGCCTGTAATTTCTCCGGGCTGGGCAATTCGCATAATCTGAAAAATTCACTTTGCTGACGTCTGCTTGAAAAATTACCGGGCGGGCTGCGAAGACCAAAGGGGAGAAACGCCGTTCCCGGGAGCGGGACGGGGGAGGCCGAGGGGCCGGCCCGGGAAGCGCGGCCGAGAAATTCCCGGGCTCGGTTCACGCGCGCCGCGTCGCCTTGACCCAAATAGCTCTCGCGTAAAGTTTTTT